TGGGTCAGCATGTTGTCATAGGTGTAACCTGTCATTGCAAACTGTATCATGAGAGGGCTAGAGCAAGCAACCCCCGGGGGCAGGCTGGTAAATAGATACTATACAGATAAACGTCTACCAGTGAATGTTGAATGTGAATGTGACTGTTTCTGATCTTCCTTTTCACAGCCCAGTGGCTGCACCCCTGGTACCTGAGAACATGTTGATGTGCACATCTGGTCCAGATACAGATGCAGACAGAACTACCTCCAAGTTTTGCTGTTGTCGTCTGGGATTTCTCTGCTTTGACAGCGGCTAGAGCTGTGGCTTAGAGATGTGGTAACCTCCAGGCCTCCAGCCCTTACGCCTCAAAGGATGGCATCCATCCGTGATCACTGGCAAGGCTGAGCATCTTCTAGAAGTTTTGTTGGCTGGGTCACATGAGATGGTTCAGCAGATAAAGGTGTTTGCTGCCTTGCTGTCACCTTAAGATCAACCTTTAGAGTTGGTGGGAGAGAAGCAACCCCCGCTAGGTTGTCCTCTGACCTCCACATACACGTCATGGCATGCATCATCCAATAAATAGATATAAAAATATTTTTTGGCTGTTTTATTGCTTTTTCTTTAAATTCCCATGAATCACAATCCTTTAAAAGAAACAATCTGTTTAGGATCAGAGAGATGGCTGAGTATGGTAAAGGCAGTTGCTTCCGAGCTCAACGGCCTGTTTAGTCCCTGGTACCTACATAGTAGGAGAGAACCGACTCTTGCAAGTTGTCCTCTGGCCTCCATACACAGCATGCACTGCCCACACTCCAATCAGAGTGATTTAAACAACGTTTAAAAGAAGGTCAGTTTTTCATCTTTCTTCATCAGACTGTGAACTTGAGGCTAGAGTCCGCTGTATTTATCCCATGGCCTCTGCACCAGGCACATAAGAACTCAGCACCAAATGAATGATTTTGACAAGATGGGAGAACAGCAGCACTTTGGGCATCATGGTCCTGTTGGATCTGGAGACCAGCCTACCCAGCCTACAGATAATCCTGATAGCAACTGTATTTGGGGGAATTTAAAAGAAAACACCGTGTCATCCAACCAAACTAGCTCTCCTCTGAAGCCTGTGTTCCCCTCGCCAGTGGGAGCTGCCCAGCCTTGTTCTCCGGGACAGGCTGATGCTTCCTGATTGCAGTAATGAGCAGTAACAGACCGGACCCTTGTCCCACATGGCTGCAATAAATGAATCCAAAACACACTGCCCATCTCAGGGTGAAGCTCGGAGGCCTGAGGCAGCCAGGGAAGAAAACCAAGGTTGACAGCTCCCAGTTTAAGAATCTGATATTCTATAAATGAAAAAAGACCAGCTGCCTGTCCCGTCACCATTGAACACGGTAAATGAGTTATCTGGGCCTTCTGTTATTTTTCAAACCCAGAACTCCTAATGATATCTGTTTGGGCAACTCTAAACTTCATTTGTCAAAAAAAAGTCTCCAATTTGCTGAATCTGAGGTTGTTTCCCCTGCCCCCCCAACGCCTTAAATTGTTGAGTGTTTTTCAAAGCTTGTTTCTCTTTATTTATTTCCAGAAGGACCATTTTATCTTGACTGCCTCCTTCAAAACCTTCTCAGGTCACCCACACCTGAAGAACAATTGGCTAAGGCCTTCAGGACCCCTGAGACTTTTTTTTTTTTTTTTTTTTGCATAGTTCCCCATGAGCCTGATGCTGCACGCACCTCTCCCCTGTCCCTGCACTGAAATCAGCGATACACTGCTTCCAAGACTCCTGGTCATGCTTCCAGCCTTGCTGAGATGAACCCTTCTGAGACCCTTTCCTCCTCTGAGTAGCTAAGCACTTCCTTCCCCACCTCCTCAACAAGTAAAACAAATGTCTACAGCAAACACTCAATAGGCCACACTGTAATTATTTACTTATGGGTCCTCTCTGGACTAAGAGCCCCTCAAGTGGAAATTATATCTTGTTGGTTACTATCCCCAGTGCCACTCTAGTCCTTGGCATATGGAAGACACACAACATTTATTTGTTGACTGAATGAATGAAAATAAGGAGACTAAGTCCTTACCCAAAGGACCAGGACTTAAAACTTCAATTTAACCACTGGAAAAGGATCAATCACCTCTGGAGTAGATTCTAATGGTACGGTTCCTCTAGCAACTGAACACATACATTAGACACAGAACACTCAGCCTTACAGGTAACTTCCCTATCCATTCTGAGCAACCCTTTCATTTTTAACCATCTGGAGCCTGCAAGTACTTCTCAGCAGGAGGGTGGGCAACCAGGCCAGAGCTGACTAGAGCCTCCTCCCCTTCCACAAGCTCACAGCAGCTCCGTTAGCACCCGTGGAAATTCTGCTCACGCATCAAGGAGAAAACAGCTACTAAAGAACACAGCTGTTTTCCTTATCGCCAAGACACCTCTCCAAGATCATTTTACCTTCCAGCTATCACTGCTGAAGTCTTTTTGGTAGCAAGCAATTTGTTCTCAACGTCCTCTGGACTCCTGAGTTAACAGAACTCCTGGGCTGTTTAAAAAGGAGGCTGTCTGTTTCCACTCTCCTTCCTTCTCCACTTCTCCTCCCTAGACCAGGTATCACCAATCTGACCAATCGAAACGCTTCAGCCTGGCTGTCGTACCACAGAGAGAGAAGAAAAAGAAGACAGTGCTACTGGGAGAGTTTTACAGAGACAGGCTGAACAGAGAGAACAAGCTAGACACAGGTGAAGACAGAATGAGCCAGAGATTGAGAAAGAACCAGAAGATCAGAACAGAATGCCTGAGTTAGTATGAGGCCAAACAGAGCAATTCAGGAGAGGCCATGAGAGAAGCCAGATTGAACCAGTTAGTGTGGAGAGGAGTGACCCAGAACAGCTGAGTTGAATCAGCCAGCCAAGTCTCAGAAAGAACTAGAAAGAGTCAGCTTTTTCAGCAGTAAGTCTCAGAAACTGAAAACGTTCTAGGCCTAGGTTAGATCGCAGGAGGCTAGAAGCTTCCAGGACTAGGTGTAGATTAGCAGACATAGGCAGTAAGCCTCAGAGAGGACAGTAACAACAGGAACAAAAAAGTTACACTTTGCACTTGTCTAGCATGCTGTCTCCAGGCCAGCTAGACCTGTCACCCGCCAGTCACCTCTACTTCTGGGGCTTTCCATATTCTGCTTTCTCTGCTGGGTATGCACCTCGACCATGCAGGTATCCCTTCCTCCAGGAAGCATTCTCTGATTTGATTAGACCCTGCTCCTGTTTTCCCACTGTTAGTTGTTCAATTATACAGTCAACAGCTATGGATGCTGCACTGGCACCAGGCTTTGTTCCTGGGACCGGAGACACGGAAGGGAGGAAAACTCAAAGACTATTTCCGGGAATTGGAAGCTCTCCAAAGTGGGGAGAAGCAGTAAACACACAAATCAACAAATAAGATTTAATTAAAAAGCCTCCCAGCATTTAAGGGGCTGAGGCAGGGGGAGCTCAAGTTTCAGACCTGTGTGGGCTCCGTGGCAAGACCATCTCACAACAAACAACGTGAAACAACTGCATGCAAAGAGCGATCAGCGAAGACAAGGAAACAAGGCTCTCTGTTCTGCTCTCTGTTTTGCGGCACTTGGGGATCTAACAAACTCAGGGCCTTGCAAGAGAGACAAGCGCTCTCCTGTGAGCTATGTCCTCCGACCTAGGCCAGGTTAAAAGTGCTACAGAATAGTTGAAAGGAAGAGAAATTGTACTTACGGTTATCTGTAGGGCTATGGACCATGCCAAGAAACTTGGTAAGGTTGAGTGGGTTCGGAAGCCCCCGGCACCTCATACCAGAAGACCGTAGGTGCTTCACCCGTTCCTGACCAGGTCCCTGTCACGTGTGACCACAGCATCCCATGGTGAGGGTCCCTCATAGATGTAGCACCCCAAGTCCTTCCCCATGCAAATTATTCCTAACATCTCAGACCAAGCCAATAGAAAGCATCTGCTGTCAGACCCCTAACCCACCCCAAAACGTATATAAGATCCTGTGCAGAAGGCATAGCGGTGTGAGAATTACTCCATCATGGGTCCTCTGAGAGCTTCTGTCATCTAAGAGCTGTAACACTTCCTGGAAAAGAGAGTTCTCTCCCAAAGTGTTAGCAGCTGGAAGCTGCCTGGGCCCACTGTGGTCACTTCCCATGGGGTGGCCCAGACCTAGGTGCCACTCCCTCTCCAGTTCCTGCACCCCTCCCCCTTCTGCTCACTTCTGTGGACTCCAGAGTAGCTGTGGTCCAGCTTCTGCTCCCTGCTTGAGCAGCAGTGGCCCTCCCTCCTCCCGCCAGACCCTCTCCCCTGCCCCTCAGGTAGCAGGAGCCCGCTCCTTGACAGATCCAGCTGGGCAAGGGAACTGAGCAGGGTTGAACAACCACAGCCCCACATCACTCATCTCAGACCAAGTGACACTTGCAGGGTGGCCACCATCAGCCCCTGGCTTTCCACCCTTGCTTTGCAAACAATCCCTTTCCTTCGAACATTCTCTTCCCCCTCTCTGCTCCTTCCCTCCATCCTGGAAATGAGCTTCCACATGCTTTAGTTTACAGCCTTGCTCGGGTCTTGTTATCTTTTTCAGATTCTGTGTGTGTGTGTTTGTGTGTGTGTTTTGAGACAGGATCTCACTATGTAGCCCTGGCTATCTTGGAACTCACTGTGTCGACCAGGCTGGTCTGCCTCTGCCTCCAAAGTGCTAGGATAAAAGGTGTGCGCCACCAACCTGGCTTCCCTCAATTCCTGACCCACCATTAGCTTTAGCAACTGCACCCTTGCTAACCCATGTTCTCTGTCCATGCTCTTTCCCTTTTCCTGCTCCAAGCTCCTCCCCTCCTCCTCCCTTTTCAGAGAGTCTTGTTATGTCGCTCCAACTGGCTTGGTACTCACTACATAGCCCAAACTGGCCTCAAACTCATGGCAATCCTTCTGCCTCAGACTCCTGAGTGCTGGGATTACAGGCAGGAGCTCTGTGGTATGCTTCAAGGAGGAAACTACACCTCTTGTTTTAGTATATCTCAGTTTACTATTACTTTTTAAAGAGCAAGTACCATTTACATAACCATCCAAGCAGGCATGTAGAGATGGATTTCATTGAAAATCTTCACGTATGCACTTTTTTCTTACTGCAGTAAGTCACTGCAAGAGAAATTTCATTATGCATCTTCAACAGAGCCCGTATTCAAATGAACCCTGAGGTGCAGGGAAGCTTCAGGCCAGCTCCTCATTAGAAGCCTCAGCATGGGGGCTCGGGAGCCCATCCCTGAAGGTCTTCCAGGGAGAGCTGAAAGGCTCAGATAAGTGAGCGATGGCAAGCAGGGCTGGTCGCAGGCTCCAGTGGGCTCACCCCTGGGGTAGAGCAAAGAGAGCAGACAGGGGAGTTCTGAGAGGCAGAGGAGCTGTCTAAACTCAGGGGGATGGAACCGAGTGAGGAGCAGCAGTAATTGAGTTTCAGTTACCTGCAGGGTGGCGAAATAAAGTGGTAACTTCATCTGCCTGACATGGGGAAGTTTAGAGGTGTCCTTGGCGAGCTCGCAGTGAAACCTGTCACCCTTCCATTGTGCTGGGTGACGGCAACTGGATGGCGCTTCCTAGTGACAGCCCTGTTCGTCCGTCAGGCAGCGCCAGCGCAAGGCAGCTAATGAAGCCGCTCCCACAGGCCTATCTCCCAGGGCTCCCCACATTCTGTCTGAAGGAACGGCACCATGGGAATATCCAGCACAGCCAACATCCGCATCACCTAAACTCAAAAGAGTCTTTGAATGGTGGAGCAAGGCCCAGCGCTGGGCCCGTCCTCGGGTCACTTTTTGTGGGTCTGTACAAACGTGCCGACTGGCAGTGCCCCGCTCTTCACCTGCTCCCGGATCTCAGCTCGGTGCTTTAATGTGAAGACCATAGCGCGCACCGTTCTCCGGTAGGGCCCGTTAATGAGCCGGGAGCAGAGATGAAACGTTTCCCGCTCAATATTTTCAACCAGTAGGTGATCCATCTGAAAAACAGCAAAATTATCAAATTAGGGCCTTGCATTGCATACGGATTAAAAGGGAGAGAGGCTGGCGCACTCTGCTCTGGGGCCTCCATTAATCAACTGAAATTCAAGGACATCTACTTCCTGTCACAAGAGAAACAGGAAGAGCAAATTAATTCCACCCTGGCAATTAAGGAACAAGGCCATGTGCTTTGTGACAGGGACCTCATTCACAACCCCTGCCGGGTGGTAATATTTGCCATTATAACAGGAAACCGGCCTGAACTAAGCAACTGTGCTTTACCAACCAGGAAGCGGGGTCCAAGGAGAATAAATCAGAGTAACGACGCATACTTCTTTGTTTTAAACGTGCCTTTTAACTTTGTATAACATTTTAGAAATGTTGGGCCGGATCCTGAGATGCATACAGAGCCGTTTATAAATCATGTTCACATTTAATATTCGTAACTGATTATCACGTTTTTACATCTGAGGAAGAGTTTCACACCTGAAGAGGCAGGGCTGGACGCAGCCTGACTCCAGAGTTCCTGTGTCTTCCCTTCAGCAGAGACATTCCTAGGCGGCTGAGTCTGGATGGGGAAGGGAACTAGACAGGGTCTGTAGCAGTGCTGGGTGATCTGCCTCAGGTCCAGGCCAGCCGGGGGTCACAGACATAATCAAGGCCAGCTCCCGTGGCTGGTCAGGGACTTCCAGCCAAATCCACTTTTTCAGGCCCACCTACTAGTAGCAAGGGCGGCCTTTCCCTAGGAATCACTCTGGCTTATGTCAATATAACACAAGACAGTCATCTGAAGGAGGGAGCTGTAACTGAGCAACAGCAGAAGATCAGGCTGCAGGCAAGTCTGTGTGGCCTGCCCTTCCTTCCTTCCTTCCTTCCTTCCTTCCTTCCTTCCTTCCTTCCTTCCTTCCTTCCTTCC